CCGGGAGTGGGGGGTGGCCAAGAGGCCCTGCAGGGCATTCCCGGGTGCCTTACAACACGTGTACTGAGAACCCATTTGTTCTATACTCTGATGAATGTTTGTTTGCATCTCAGAAGAAAATAAAAGCTGGAAAGAAATTAAAAGCCCTTTTTTTTAAAACATATTTTGCAAGGATGAACAGACACAGCAACCGGCTGTGTGCGTGGCACTCTAAATAACAGCAGGTAGTTTGTGAAATTATGAGATTGACAGCTGAGAAACTCCTGGCAATGTCCAATCACCACAAGTTAAGAGACAACGGGCAGCCGGACATGGTGGCGCATACCTGTCATCCCAGCAGCTCAGGAGGCTGAGGCAGGAGGGTTGCGAGTTCAAAGCCAGCCTCAGCAAAAGCGAGGTGCTAAGCAACTCAGTGAGACCCTGTCTCTAAATCAAATACAAAATAGGGCTGGGGGTGTGGCGCAGGGGTCAAGTGCCCCTGAGTTCAATCCCTGCTATCCAAAAAGAGAGAGACAGAGAGAGAGAGAGAGAGAGAGAGAGAGAGAGAGAGAGAGAGAGACTCATGATGTTTCTGTAGGTTTAAAGCTATTTAAAAATAAGAAGTTGCAAAGGAAAAAATTGCACCATGGAAAATTCAGATATTTTTCCAAGAATTCAACAATGGTGTGATATTAGGAAGCCTGTCGATGTAACTCAGTATCTTAAATCAGGAATGAGAAGGAGACAGGAATGAGTCAGATTGGAACCCACTAGCCTAGAAGGTCGCCCATCCCGGTTCAGAGTGGGAGCAAGGGGGCTTCAGAACCAGTGTGGTAGAATGTTATTCATGTTTAGGGAACAAACACAGAATCTCTGTGTCAGACTGTTAAGACTGAGAAATAAGATTAGGAGAAGAGCTTTACTACGTACTGTATGTTTCTGAAGCATTTAAGAGCTTTCGTGTTCACCAATTCCATTAGTAGTTTTTAAAAAGAATAAATAAGATCCATATAAAGTCTCTAAAGTCATTTTGAGTCTTTCTGGGTCTTCCTTTCTAGAGAGGAAAAGGACCTTTTGCATTCTAAGCTCTTCAGAGAAAGATTTAGAAACCAGGCATTTTCTCTAAAACCCATTTCCACCCCTTCAGTCTGTTGATTCTGCCAAGAAACCCTTTGAAGGCCATTCCAATTGGGAGAGGAAGAGGATGGTGGCTGAGAGTTGGAGGGTAGCTTAGTGGTAGAGCCCCTGCCCAGCTTGCCTGAGGTCCTGGGTTCAATTCCCAGCACCACCACCAAAAGTAAAAATACCAAAATAAAAAAAAAAAATCACAGTGGACATGTTGTGAAGGAATAAAAGAACTCCTTCTGTTTAGTTCTCCATCCTAAAACCGAGACATGCAGCCCCGGGAAGTCCTTCAGAATGAAGTCTGAGTGTCCTCAAGTCCCCTGCTCTGGTCCCTCCCCCATAGCCTTACATCCACCCACCAGATTTCCCTGTGAGCAGCTCCTTCTCCAAGAACCAGAGGACTCGCAGGGAGAGGAGAGTTCACACCCACACTTGATGCTGAAAGAGGCTCCTCAGCTGTTGTTCAAGCCGACAGCAGCCCCTATTCCTGGACTCATTCAAGGTCTCTCCTAGGAGCCCTGGAAAGATGGTCGTTTGCAGAGGAGCGGGTCACATCCGAGATACGGGACTGGCAACAAGCGATCAGGGCTTGGACCCAAGTACCCCCCAGGTCAGGTGGTCAGCATGGCTGCCCTGACCTGTATTGAACAACTCCAATGGCGCCAGGCCCCCCTCCCATCCCACCTGAGCTCATGGGCAATGGATGCCTGGTCGATGGAGGTGCCCTTCAACATGGCACAGAAGGGCTGCAATTCCCACACTGTTGGTCATTGCTGCTGAGAGCATAAAACTGTCTTCTTATTCAAACAGCCAAGAGTTGGCATTGTTTGGAGCAATATAGTGGCATGGAGTCTTATTATATTTCCTTGGGTTGTGGCAACATCAGCCATCATTAGATTATGACTAATCTCTGAACTATGGTTTTTAAGGAAGTATGAAAGAATAATGAGTAGTTTGGGAGAGGCCACATCTTCCTAGTTCTAGATTGAATGATGAGCTCTGGATTCAGAGTTCCTAATGTGCTGTGCAGGGACTTGGATTAGGAAGCATCCAGAACAGCTTCTCAAACTTGGGTCCTCAAAGATTTGGATCCAGCCAGGTTATTCTGTGGCACCCCAAAGATCTCAGCTTTTGGATAAGAATAGCACGGGGAGTAGCAACTTGGTAAAACGAACATTCGTTGAACATATACTCTGTGCTGGGTCAGTGCTGAAACCCTTGATGTGCATTAACTCACTGAATGCTCCAGTGTGAAGTAGGTGCTGTTACTGTTGTCCCCAATTTATGGACGAAGACACCGCCTTAGCTCTCACAGCTGTTAAGACATGGAATTTGAACTCTGGCCTCTCTAAGCTTAGAGTTCATAGTATATTCCATAGTTCCTTGGAATATATTTCAAGATAGTGGGCATCTTGACCTCGTAGGGATCAGCTGCCTACACCAAAGGTTTTCGATCCTGTGAAAGTGTAAGTTGGAAGCAACCCAACTGTCCATAGAGGGATGGGTGGATACACAAGTCGCAGCCCATGCCTTGCTGTAGTCCGGCTGGGCTGCCTAAGTCCAGCTGGGCAAAATAACCGAGAGGTGACAAGCAACTTGAAGGTTGAAGCAGGAACTACTTTATTGCGAATGAACTCAGCAGGAACTGAGAAATCAAAGTAGTGGGCACCCAAGGTAGCAGGAGCCGCTTCTCTGCAGGACAGCAGAGGTACATATACCCAAATAATTACACAAGCTTAACTCAATTAACATCATCTAGATACAGCAGTCAGTCATTCAGGAATCCTCCTCATCTTAATGGCCCGCTGGCGTTACTTCACAAACCACTCCTCCTGGCAAAGTGCCAGGCGCCCTCTTGACTTGATTTGCATCCCCTACAATGCCTGCCATAGAATATTATCCTACATTAAAAAGAAGGGGATTTCTGACACATAGGTGAACTCTAAAGGCATCAGCCAGTCACAGAATGGCAAATACTACATGGTCCTGCATCTAGGAGGCACCCAGGACAGTCAAATTCATAGAGTCAGAAAGTAGAATTATCATCTTCAGGGGTGGAGAGGTAGGTGGATTGAGGAGTTTGGCCTATATGGAATTTCCATTTAGGAAAGAAAAAGTTCTGGACGGGGTTGGTGGTGATGTTTGCACAACAATGTGAAGATACTTAAGTGTCATTGAACTGTGCACCTAAAAATGATGGATTTTATGCATAAATCACCATCATAAATGCAACCCTCAAAATGTGTGCCTCGTCCCCACACCAGTTTAAGTCAGAGTCTCTCTGGGACGAGGCCCAGATATCTAATGATCTTAACTTCCCATCTGTTTCTAATTTGGCTCTCAGGGTGCAGAACTCCAGATCTGGGACTCCGATTTCTGGAACTCACCAGAAGTCCCCGAGTTGTCACAGGTCCTCACTCTTGTGCAAACAAGGTGCCTGAAGCAAGTCCTCCTCGTTACTGATCCTCTGAGGCTATTGGTGACTAAGGTGGCTCAGCTCTAGGAATTAATGAAAGGCTCCAAAACCAAAAAATCTCCTGGGTATTTCTCTGTCTTGGAATTGTCCGCACACGCCTAACCCCCCCCCCTTGATCATTCAGGAAGAGGACAATCATGACTGCAGTAATGATTTCAAATCAATAACAGAAGTTCCCAGTGAAACCTATGGTTCACACCACTGATGGAGACCCTCAGTACACATCTCTTAATAAATATGCCAGACTTCTTTAAGCTGCAGCTCAACTTTGGGGTGATTCTTAGCAGTGGGAGAACAAAGAGGGTTCATTGTAACAAAGATGAATAGCTCTGGGTCTTTAGCTGAGCTGCAAGGATTCTTGAGCACCTCCTCTGAGCCTGCGCCGGGCTAGCTCAGAGAATTCCAAGATGCCCTCAAGGCACGCACATTCTGCAGGGCAACAGCCATGTCCATACCTGTATTTAATCCATACAGATACCTTGAGCTCCTGCACTATGCCAGACACTGCTCAAAGAGCAACAAAGGGAATATTTAAATATTTAACAAGTTTGGCACAAACAGAATCAGAAAGGAAGTTCCCCTGAGCCCAGCAATAACCCTTAACATGCTGGATTATGGAGATGTGGAGGAGGGGACGGGATAGACAGGACATTGGGGAAAGGAGACAAAGCTTAGTGCAACCTTTTAATAGGGAAAGCTCTACCTGTAGGTACCGGTTGAATGATAGGCTTGGCCTGGGCATAGAGGTGGTCCATTCCATCAAAGTCCCTGACCTCAGGGACTGCCCTTCTCATGCAGAAACAGGTGAAGTTTTATTGTAAATGACCAAATAGCAAATATTTGAGGCCTAACAAGCCCTACAGTCTCTGTCCCAACTATTTAATCAAAATAGTCACAGACAATAGTAAACAGATGGATGTGGCTACGTTCCAAGCCAATTTTTATAAAAAGAGGCAGAGGGCTGGATTGGGCTCATGGGTCCTAGTTTGCATAGTTAGTGCTAGTGGACAAGACAGACGTCCCCCTTCATCCTATCATCCTACAAATGTGTGCCAAGCATATTCTACGTGGCCAGTGTTCCTCTGGGCACTGGTATATGGTGCTGAACAAGTCAGACAACGGTTCCTGCCCACATAGTCATAATATTCCCATGGGAGGGACAAAATCAATCCTTTTAGTAGTCTCTGGGACATGCTAAGATGAAAGCAATCAGGAAATACAGAGAGGGCGGTTGACTGTACCTTGGAGTTGAGGGGAGGCTTTCCTGGAGGACCTGCAAACCATGCTGTGTGCTCCGCAGCCCAGAGCTGAGAGGAGCAGAGTCACCGAGGCCTCCTAGAGACGTTTGGTCAGGACAGCCTGCGAATCCTCAGGCCTTGTGGGTGTGTGACGTCACCAGCTCTTCCCTTGTGTCCCCCAGTCTCTGAACAGCTACAACGAAGGAGACTTGGAAGGAGCCAGGCGGCTGGGGAGGAATGCCAAGTGGGTGGCCATCGCGTCCATCATCATCGGCCTTCTGATCATCGGCATCTCTTGTGCCGTGCACTTCTCGAGGAAGTAAGTAGGCCTTCTGAATCCCTCCCCGCGGGAACGCCTCCTCCTGACTGCCCACTGGCACCTGCTAGGATGGGTTAGGGTCCACCGCAGTAACAAATAACTCAAAAACAAAAGGCTTTTTCTATCTGCTTCATGTGACCCCGGACCCTGTTGTCAGGAGGAGGTCTCTCCTCCACACAGTCATTCAGGGCCCCAGGGTGACCCAGCTCCGCCACCCTGCAGCTACCGTACCTGGAAAAGGGGGTGACTGGATTCAGCTTGTCATGACCACTGTCTTTTTGAATTGTAACCACCACGATTGCCCAGAATAATGCTAGTCGTTTGTCCTGCATAATTTCCCAGCAACTATAAACAGACAAAACCATCGGAGTGGTATATGGGAGCTTTAAAACCAGATTCTGGCTCCAAGGATGCACCTGAATCTTTGATCTTAAAATAAACCAGATACATTCTAGCCAGGTTGGAGTTAGTTTTGAGGTGTAACCCATACACCCTCTTTCTGACCAAATTGTGAGGATTCAACTCTCTTGCTGCCATCCAGGATGACGCTTCTGTCAGCAAGAACCCTAATAAATTTCACCCTTTGCAATCCCAGCCTCTCTCTTGAGTCTCGCCACATCTTGGGGTGGGTCCTCGTCCACTAGAACTGGGTTTTTCCAGAACAAGGGGTCAACAGGCATTACCTACAAAGGGCTAGGTTATTAAATATTTTAGGCCTGGCAGGCCTGTCTCGGACACAACTATTTGATTCTGCCATCCTAACACAAGAGGAGCCTTGGGCAATATGCAAATGAGCAAGTGCAGTATGCAAATGAGCGGGTGGCTGTGTTCCACTACAATTTTATTTATGAAAATAAGATATCTTGTCTGTGGTCCTCTGATCTAGAACAGGGTGTATCCTCAGGCTGAGACAGGGAGAAGGAGGAGGATCAGAGAATCTCATGTGGACTTTTCATGGCAGGAGTCTGGGAGTCACAAATGTCACTTAGGCTCACTATTAGATGAAGAAAACCAGTCACACAATCCCATCTAACCGTGACAGGGTGGGAAATGCCTGGGAGTACATGATGTATTTAGGAGCACTCCTTGATTTGCATTACCACATGATCTGTAAGATGATTTCCTGTGGGATGTGGCCTTAAACTAGCCCAGTGATTCTTAGTTTAAGGGCCACCAGAAACACTGTGTGTTTGGGGTATCAGGGATGAGCCCTGATCTCATAAAGAGATGGAGGCTGTTAATTGGGACATGTTTCTTCTGATTTCTTCAGTTAGCTGAGCTAAGCTCCATCTGCTAGAATCAATGACCCTTTCCACTAGAGCTCTGACAGAGGACGAGGGGGTATGATGGACAACCCAGACACAGAAATTACAAGTCCACATCCATCCCTGTCTAGCTGGGTAAATTCTGGTGATACAGATAAGAATGCCAAGAAATTCTTTAGGTTTCTGCCGGAGAGGTACAACTAACTCTTCCTATACCCTTGACCCATGCACTTTGCCCCTTGAGCTGGGCAGGGCGATTCCTTGGCTCAGTTGACTAGAGAAGCTCATCTGGGTGGGCGAGGGAGGAAGTAGGCATCCTTCATCCCGCCAGATCAGCCAGCTCAACCTTGGCAACCAAGAGAGCAGCGGATGTCACAGTGGACCAACTTCCTATCAGACGTGCCAGAACCAGGAGCAGTCAGTGGCCAGATGGAGGGGGTGACATCAAGACAGAAACTGTCCCAAGTGAAAAAATAGGTGGCTCTGTCCCCAAAAGGGAGAAAAGGACACGGACACAGAAAGCTCAAGGCTTCTTGCTTTGACGGCACGGATGTCGATAGGGTCTAATTGATTGAAAGTTTATGATATGGGCCCATGAAGAAGAAGACGGTTGGGAAACAGTTGTGGGCACTCCTGACTTTATCACAACATGCTGTGTGTGTGTGTGTGTGTGTGTGTGCACGTGCACACGCGTGCATCATGGAGTACAGGATCAATGGTGCAGATCAGCCTGAGCCCAGGCCCTCGCTTAGCATTGACTCACCTTCAGCCATTTGTTTAACTTCTCCTAACCTCGGTTTCCTCATCTGCCTAATTTCATTTCATAAAGCTATTGTAAAAGTTGATTAGACTGACCCACAGAATTTGTGGAGTTTGCTGTCTGTTTCTTAAGTCGTACACTAAAAATGCTGACCATTTTTGAAGCCCGTTATTACTACTGTCACCAACATTATGGATAACGAGGATCCCAGGATATAAAATGCCATTAAACAGAGCTCAAGGCTCTGTGTCTGTGACTCACACTCAAAGGACGGTGTTCCCAGGGAATGAGACTAAGTCTTGGCTAAACTCCTGAGGATTAGGGAAATACTCACTGCCCAGATCAGAGCGTGAGCAGTCCACGCTGGTATTGACCTTGCCATTTGCCAGACATCATTCCAAACACTGACACAGATTAATCCTTGTTGAAGCCTCACAGCAATCCAAAGAGGTAGGTATTATTATCCCCATTTTTCAGCGAAGGAAACTGAGGCTCAGAGATGAAGGGATTTGTGTAAATTTCCATAGCTAATTAGTGGGAAACAAGATGTGAGTGTGTTAGGGCTTGAGTGTGTGTTCTTCATGCTGTTCTTCACCACAACTGCACACGACCTCCACAACAATGTGACCCTTCTGGTATGCACAGAAACGAAGGCAGTACTTAGCACTTGCCTTAGAACTAATGCCAGCACCCCTGTACAAGGGGATAGGGTTAGGGTTTCCCACTTCAAAAACATGTGAGGACCACAGGCCAAGGGTCACCAAGTCCAAGGACTGCAGGATTCAGGCAGGGAGCTTACGTGAATGAAGCAGCCCGGTCATGGGGCAATAGGGAGTGGTGGGGACTGTGGTTGATTGTTTATAGAGAACAGCTACCACTCTGCCCCAATTGTTACCACTTAGCACTTAAGGCCCCATGTTTCAAGAGGTGTTAGAGATCTGGGCTTTTGTATAAGCTCTTCTGATTTTTGGATGTTGACTGCAAATTCATAGTGTTAACAGCCAGGGTACTAACTACTTTGTATTTAGTTGGCAATCGGTGGTGGACAATTTGGTTTTCAAAGATTAGTTACCATGAGACATTGTCTAAGAAGTTTTGTAAGGGGCACAGAAGTCTTCCTAGATAAGGACTGTCTTCATTCCTCTTATGTTTCTTTCTGGATGTGTATACACTTGTGATTGAAGTTTGCTTACTTAGGAATACAAAGTATGAGAGAGGGTGATTTCTCATTCCTTCTCCCCATGGTTAGAGCCTAGACTTTAGGATCAGTTTTAGCAAGATTCAAATCCTAGTTCCAACACACAGACCATATGAGCAAGTTATTAACTTCTCTATGACTCTATTTCCCCATTAAATAAAAACAGAATTATTTCCCTATCTATAAATTCAGATTCCTTTTTTGGTTCTGGGGATTAAACCCAGGGTGCTCTACCACTGAGCTAAATTTCCAGTTTTTTTTTGTTTTGTTTTGTTTTGTTTTTTTTTTTTCATTTTGAGACAGAATCTCACTAAGTTGCTGAGGCTGGCCTTGAACTTGCAATCTTCCAGTCTCAGCCTCCAGAGTCAGTGGGATTACAGGCTGCGTGCACCACCTCAGATTCCTTTTAAATACTTTTCCCTCTATGTTATCAAAGAGAACACACACACAAAAAAAGTTTCCAGAGTTAGAATCCCATGGAGAAACTCAAATTTTAAAGTGTTTGTTATGTGTGTGCAAGAGAGAGAGACAGACACACAGAAAAGAGAGACTGACGCAGGGAGAAGAGGCAGGAAGAGTAAGAAGGAGAGGGAGTAAAAGAATGAGGCAGACAAATAAAGGAAAAAATAATGGAGAAAGACAATAAGGAACTAATCCTTAGAAAATGAAATCAATTCTATTTTCCTATAAAGATCAAAAAATAGAGCCAATTTCTCAATAATCCTTTGGAATAAAAATTCCCCAGCCTTAGTTTACTAGAGGAATTGAATAGCAATGTATAGCCACTAAGGAAGAGTTCCCAACCCTTACACTGCAGAAGAATGATCTGGAAGGTTTAGAAGTCCTCATCCAAACCCACCTTCAAAAGATTCCAGCTCAGCCAGGCGCAGTGGCCCACGCCTGTCATCCCAGCAGCTCAGGAGGCTGAGGCAGGAGGATCGCGAGTTCAAAGCCAGCCTCAGCAACAGCGAGGTGCTAAGCCACTCAGTGAGATCCTGTCTCTAAATAAAATACAAAACAGGGCTGGGGATGGGGCTCAGTGGTCGAGGGCCCCTGAGTTCAATCCCTGGTACCTCCCTCACACCAAAAAAAAAGAAAAAAAAATTCCAGCTCACTAAAATAAGACGTGAATCCCAGGAATCCGCATCTTTTCATCTCTTCACACCACCCTGGAGATTCAGACACTGGTAGTTAGCAGAACCCTCTTTGCCAAGTCCTAGCAAATTTCCTCTCCCACGTTCAAAAGGAAGACCACACCTACGACGGTAGCTGTTAACACCGGGGTCAGTTTTCATTTACATCAGCAAACTCATCATCCCAATTTATTCCAAGTCAATGCCAAGGAGGAGAATAGGGTTACCACCGAGCAGATGTCCCCAGAGGAGGTTCTGTTGGAACAACCTAAAGGCAGCAAGGTCTTCCACAGAGGGTTGGGGAAATCTGACTTCAAAGGACACCAATTCCCAGATATGATGGCTCGTGCCTATTATCCCAGTTACTCAGAGGCTGAGGCAGGAGGCTAGCTAGTTTGAGGCCAGCCTGGACAAATTATGAGGCCCTATCTAAAAGAAAGAAAGAAAGAGAGAGAGAGAGAGAGAGAGAGAGAGAGAGAGAGAGGGGAAGGAAGGAAGGAAGGAAGGAAGGAAGGAAGGAAGGAAGGAAGGAAGGAAGGAAGGAAGGAAGGAAGGAAGGAAAGAAAAAAAAATTAAAAAGTCTGGAGTCAGTGGGATTACAGGTGTGCACTTCCTCAGATTCCTTTTAAATACTTTTCCCTCCATGTT